AGGATCAAAGAACAAAAACATCAGAACCTAATTTCTTGATGTGATCACTGACTCAGTGGACAAGCTCTAGGATGAATGACTCACAGAGTTTGTATCAAGTGAGAAAAGCAAGCTTCAATACGTATAAGCTACCATTAATTTGATGTATGCTACTTGCAGCTGAAAGCACTCCTAAATGATAACAGATTTAAGAAGTTTGGAGAATATACAAATGAAAGCTATACAAACTCTTTGGACTAGCAGATCAATAAGCCTACATATATTAATGCCAAAAACAGATAAATAAATAAGAGATACAAACACAAATAAGTCATATTTTTGCAGCAGCCTATTTGCTCCCTACCACTTTATGTCTACAGCATGCTTATGAACGTACTAGATCAGAGATGGTGTGGCAGTTGCCACTCTGTTGTCATGCAGACATTGCTAATCAATTACAGCACTCTTTCTCTTTAACTCAGCTCCAGCTTAGACACAATGTTCCAGGCCACCACTACTAGTCTATTAAAATGGACACTCTAGATGAAAGCTATTTGCTTTCTTTGTTCTAGGTTCCTTTTGTTTTTCTCACTTTCCTTTTCCTTTTCATTAGAACTTGGTTATTTTCCTTTTAGTTACGAGTATATGATAGGTATAATACAGGAAAGAATGCATACTGCCTTCCTTCAACTGAGCCAGTAATCATTCCTCCAATGACCCCCATCAGAAACATGTACATCATGATTCTTAATCTGGGGTCCAGTGACCCTCAAAGAGTCCATGGGTAAAATTCAGGGGTTTCTGAATTCTGATGGAGGGAAAAAACACATCTTTAGTTAAACCTTTGACTGAAACTGAGTATTTCTTTTGATGATGAGTGTAGGCAACAAAGCACTGAGCTTTCTACTAGCAGGACCTGTGACTCTGTCACTAACAGAAATTACATTGTTTCATCACATTTTAGTTGTTGTAGAGATCTCAAAATACCATTTATACTCATCTCTGCTTCACAGTATCTACTGTTAGGTATTCAACTACTTCTAGATCTACTTAAGGCTTTAATAAAGAAGGCCATGTTATTATATCCTACATTAGATCTTTTAAATAGTTTGGCAATAGAATTTAAGTATTTAAATTAGTAGTAACTTAGATAGTATTCCAGTTTGGTTTGTAATCCTATGTATTTTATTTTAGGCATTTAGAAACATGATGCTTGCTGAGAAGGAGTCAAAGCTTCACCAAACTACCAAAGGGATCTATGGCACAAAAAAATCTAAGAACCCCTGCTCCAACATCATTGTCATCATAGGTAACTTTATTGAGCACTTACTACATGTCTGACATTGTTCTAGCACTTTACAAGAATGAACTCATTTATTTTTTACAGCCCCTATATGGAGCATATAGTACTATTATCCCCATCCTACAGATTAAGACACTGAGGCACAGAAAGGTGAAATAAAAGCCAAGGTCTCATGTAAATAGTGGAGAATTCAGGCGACCTGGCCACAAAGCATGAACCCTTAACCAACAGTCATTACCATGAAATGAATCTCTATTTCCTTCACTCAGGAAAAGGCATTACCCATCCAAAGTGGAATGGGTCACGGGCGGTTACTGATTATCTTGCCTCATCATGTGGTAGCAGTAAGGATGCACCAGTTTGGTGTGCCAATATGCTTTGAGCAAACTGGGAACACAGTGTTACTACCAGGTTTGTTCCATATCTCAGTGCCTTTGAACTTACAAACCACTGATGGGGCTTTATCTTTTACGTACAGACTTATATTCAGACAAACTGGGGCTTTATCTTTCACAAACAGACTTGTAAAACCCCTTGAAATTCACCCCTTGGTCCCCTGTAATGCTCTTACTTAAGAATTTGTGCTTAGGCTTGTAAAGCTGGGGAAAGTTTGCTCCAATGGCAGAGAAGAGAGGAGGCCATGGTGGAGCTGGGACAAACTGTATTTGGAAACAGAAGACCTGGCTTAGAGCACAGGTTTGGCACTAACTTCTGAACTAACTAGGCAGCCTCTCCAAGCCTCAGTTAATATTATGTATAATATAGGAAGGAAGACATATATGAAAACTGGAAGAAGCAGGAAGGTAAAAGGGCTTTCTTTCCAAATTTCAGTAAATATAAGTTTTAGTTTAATATAATGAACTGCTGACAGTTTCAATACAAAGACCAGCACACAGTAGTCACACAATAAATAAGGAGGATGGTGGCTGAAAACAAGTCTGCCCCTTCAGAAGTGTTCAAAAGCTAACTGGATAGCTAGCTTCTTGGTGGAGCTGTCATAAAAGGTGTCAAGCAACAAGCAAAAGTTCAGATGCTTGTATTTGGAGTTCCTGCTCAGGCATAGGTCTCTGATATACTCAAGTCTCATGATTCATTCAAGGGTGTGTGCTTTGCAACAGGGAGCACTTGCCTGGGGACATGTTTGTATTTCTACTTTTTCCTTTATTGCTCCTCGAGGGAGGACTGGAAAAGTTGGGTATGACATGCCATCCTCCCCTGGGAACCTTAGCCAGTTATAGTTCAGAAGGAAAGAGACGACCTTGATTCCATTTATCCATGCAGGACATACTTATACTAAAAATCATTCACTGTTTATCTGAAATCCAAGTTGAAATTTAAGTGGGCACCCTGGGGGAGAGAAATAACCTGAGTGCCAAAGTGCCATCTCTAAAAATAGAATAATGAAATAGAAGGCAGCAGACGAGAGAAAAAAACAAACCAAAAACCTGTTTTTGAAGAGCCTTTCTTTATGTGGAGGTGGGAACATGCTGCTTTTCAAAATACTCTAAGGGTCTGAAAGGAGAAATATGCATTTAAGCACTCCACCGAACTTTGTAAGTAGCAGGCACTTGATGTTCTGCACTCATAGGGTTGCCAGATAAAATGCAAGATGCCCAGTTAAATTTGAATTTCAGATAAATAACAAATACTATTTTAGTCTAATTATATCCCAAATATTGCATGGGATAGGCATATACTAAAAAATGATTTGTTGTTTATCTGACATACAAATTTAACTGGGTGTCCTACATTTTTATTTGCTAGATCTAGCCACCCATCATTCACCCCAACATTCTCACATCAGCCACTATAAGGCTTCAACTGTCCAATGAGGTTACAACCCTATGAAGTCACTGCTCAGTAAAGTTTATTATAGTCAAGTCTTTATAAAGAAAAGATACATTCAAATTTAAATCATCTAGCAGGTGCGTTCTATGTAAATTAAATAAGCTTTATTTACTTTTTCTTAGGTTTGCATCTACATTTATCAGTTAAAGGAATTTAAATTTAAAACCTTAAGATTAGTAAGAAGAAAAAATTGACTAATTGAGAAAACTTCAACTTATGGAAACACTGGTGGTTTGAAGTTTAGGGATAATTTAATGAGCTTGAGAACTTTAGTGGTCCTGCCTTTGAAACCAAGAGCTGGACAGATCATACAAAATCACCCAACTCAATAACGTTCTGCAGAGCAGGATGGTCATTTATATAATGTGAAAATTAAGCTCAACATGTCCATTTCTTACCAGTAAATGTTCCTCCTCCAACTCTGATGCTTCCTGTTGCATAGACACTGTTCCTCCTCCTGGCATCCCTTTTGAGCAGATGAAGCTGCAGCTAAGACAGCAGAGCTGGAAACTACAGTATCACCTTGGCCTTACCCCTCATCCCTGGGGTTCCAGAGTTTGGGCCAAACTACTGCAAGACTTTAACTAGTTTCCCCAGGTCTATTTGCTCTCTATTCTGGTACTTGTCAACTCTAACTGCATGTTAGAATTATCAGGAGAATTTTTTAAAATAAAAAATACTCATGCCTGGGCCCCACCCAGAGCAACAGAATTGGAACTGCTGGGGGTGCAGCCCAGACAGCAGGCCTCCAGTAGATCCCTAAGGCTCAGCCAGGACTGAGAACCACTGCTCTACTCCAATCCAGCCTCCCAGGACATCTCTACACAGCCCAACTGGTTATGCTTTAGATGGTTTAAACAGGTTCCTGTTTAAAAAAATAAAACACATACAACAAACATTGCTAGTTCCCCTTGGCCTATCTATGCAGGCCCCAATTTTTCAACGGAGGTTTAACCATCTCAAAACCCTACTCCTACTGTTCTCATCCCTTAACTTTATGCTCCGCTCAAATCTAAACTTCCCCCGCCATTCCCTTTCTTCACGCTGCACTCTCCATCTGGGACTGCCTCCTTCATCCCCATTTGTGTTTCACCCATCCCTCAAGGCTAGTGTCAGATGTCTCTTCCTCCTGAACTTCACCTTCATGCGTTGTAACTTCTCCTCCTTAAGCCAGCAGGGGTTGGTTTGTACCTGTCCTGAACATCCTAATTTATCTATTTGATTTATTTCTCTCCTTCCCTTTAATAGGGTAAACTCTTTAAAGGTAAGGACGGTGCCTTACTCTATTACAGGAGGCTAAGAGTGCACAGCGTACAGAGAAGGTGCTCAACATTTCTGGAATTCTTTCGCGTGAGGCTTAACATAATTTGAGTTGATAATTTAGAGACTACGACGTCTGATCACCCACGTTTTTTCCTTATAACTAAAACATGAGATAGACTAGGCGTGTCCTGTTTGGCATTCTGGCTTCGGTGTTCCCAGATGAAGAGATAAATAAGGAAGTGATGTAAGAACAATAGCTGAATATCTCAAGTATCTTTGATCAACCGTGCCAAGATTAGAGAGCAGAGGAAGAGTTCTCAAACTCTGCAGGGAAGGGACGGAAAACAACTTTATTAAAGACGGAGGCTGGTTCGGGCAACAAAGAGAAACAGCACCAATGACCTGAAATAAATCTTTATAATTAAAGTTTCAGTGAATGAGTAATAGTTTTGTTTTCAAGTTAAAGCACTAGGCTCGCCCCTGGGTAAATCGCAAAGCACTCGCTTGTCAACTTTGGTAAGAAAGACCTGGGTGCGCAGCAAAAGCTTACAAACTCGCTATGAAGTCTCGCGATTCAGCCCAAACTGTGCCGGGTTTTGGTGGCGGCTGGGGGTTGGGGTGGAGGAGCTCCGCCGGCCGAGGAGCAGAGCGATGCAGAGGTCCTACGTGGCCGCCGGCTCCGGGGTCCCCGCTCGCGCGCAGCCCCTGCCACCCTGAGCCTGGGGACCCGAGAGGCCCCCACCTACCTGAGCGCCAGGAGCCTCTCGCCCAGGAGCGCCAGCGCTATCCCCAGCAAGCTCAGAGCCAGCAACCGTCCCATGGCGCGGAAGCCGCGCCGCCTAGCTCGGCCGGGCCCGGGAGCACTGTGGGCGGTGCCCGCGGTCCGGCTCTTGCGTGCGGGCCGCGCTCCGCCCCGAGGTCGGCGAGCCCGGTTCCTGCTCACAGGCCGCGGCGGCTCCGCCCTCGGCGCGGCCCTTGGCTTTTGTCACCGCAAACCTGCCTCTTGAGACACCTTCCCGGCAGTGGGAACCGTCCTATCCCGCCCCTGGTTAGGCCAAGGGCGTGACACTTTGAATTCCTTCACCTCCCTTCACTAACAGACAACCCCTCGGGAATCTCAAGCAGGCTGCAGGCCTTTCTCAGTTCTCGATTAATCTTCGAAGACATTCCTTCCGTCCTAGTCCGGTAAGAAACTTCTGGAGGACAGTTTTAAATATATATATTTTTTAATTACAGGAAAAGATACTGGGCCATGTCATGTTGGAATCACTACTTTTTATAACAGGATGTAGATGGGAGGAAGGAAACATTCTATTACGTAATGCTTCATCTAGACTAGAGACCTCAAAACCTGGACACTATTTTATTTATTTTATTTTATTATTATTTTTTTGTCAGTGCCCTGCGGCACGCGGAATCCCGACCGGGGATTGAACCCGTGCCCCCTGCATTGGGAGCACCAGGGAAGTTCACCTGGACACTATTTTTGCTCCAAACTCAGTTTATGGGAATAAGACAAGAAAAAAAAAACCCACCAAAAACAAACCCCATTTTAAAACTTAACAATCATAACGTGAATAAAGAAAGAAAAAAGTATAAAAGAGAACCTTCCCCATTAAGATTGAGACAGTTATAATAAGTGAGTATGGCTGAAACAAGCTTCTGATGGTTGCCAGTACTTAATTGCCACCCTGTAGTATGTAGGCAGAAATGGTCACAATTGCCAACTTTAAACAAACATCGGTTTTATTAACAACCAGTAAATAAAAGCAAATGCCAGTTTCTCACCTGTTCTGCACCAAGAAAAAAAAAGAGACCCCTCAGTTTCTGTATGTCTCTGATTCAGTCCTAAAGGATATTAGGTTATATTGCATGGTAGATAGCAACATAGTTGTACTTTGAAAGTCCTGGAGGCTTACCTTTTTTTAAGTCATGAACCCCTCTGGCAGTAGTGAAATTATAGATACCTTCGCAGAATAACATAAATGCATACAATAAAAGGTGTGGGGCTTCCCTAGTGGTGCAGTGGTTAAGAATCCGCCTGCCAGTGCAGGGGACACGGGTTTGAGCCCTAGTCCAGGAAGATCCCACATGCCGCGGAGCAACTAAGCCCCTGTGCCGCAATTACTGAGCCTGCACTCTAGAGCCCGCGAGCCGCAGCTACTGAAGCCCACGCGCCCTAGAGTCCGCGTTCTGCAGCAAGAGAAGCCACCGCAATGAGAAGCCCACGCACCACAACAAAGAGTAACTCCCCCTTGCCGCAACTAGAGAAAGACCACATGCAGCAACGAAGACCCAATGCAGCCAAAAATAAATAAATAAATAATTTAAAAAATTATTTTTAAAAGGTGCAGATTGCAAAGGAGACCAATTACATTCAAATGCAATTATCAAAGTAGTCTTTTAAAAGTTTGTGCTATAGTAATATAATAGTGTAATGTGTGCTACATTATTAACACGTTAAATAACAAGATCTAGCAACATTCTTTCAAATAGCGATGAGCATAAATGTTATTTCAAGATGTCTGCAGCACTATAATGAAATAATGAACATAACTCTTATTTACATTAGTAACAAAGTCACAAGTATTGCTAATGCTTCTGAGATTTGATTGGTTTTCTACTTTCATAATTGAAGGAAATGTTAAATTCCTTTAGAAATCAAGATTTTTTTCCCTTCATTCAAGGTCATGAAGCCCCCAGATTCTATCCATGGACCATTTTGGTTAAGAATTTCACCATAGTTACCCTATGACTGGACATGTGTGGGTGGGATCTCTTCTCTAGGGACGTTTTTAATGTCAGTCTTTGGGGACAGAGAAGAATCTCATATATGAAATCAGAATTTAGAATGAGGACCTAAAGAAGGCCTGGGACTGTGGCCAGGGCTTCTGTATTAGTTCTGAGAGTCTTGTTCCAAGGTTTCTGGTTAGTGACTAGTATATAAAACTATTCCTCTTGGACTCTGGGTCAAGAGCTAGGCTCCTGTGTCTTTCAAATGTATCACAAAATGAGGAAACCATAAATTGTAAATAAGATTACCTTGTTGTGTGCTGTTCCCCTTTTGCTATTCCCAGGCTTTTAAAAAAGTCATGTGCTTAATAATTCATCCTGGTTTCAGCTGAAATTAAAGGGCCAAAGGTCTGTTTCTTTCAGGGTATACTCAGGGTAGCGAAATACAGCTTTTATGCTTACTTTCCCTTCTTGCCCGTGGCAGACATCACTAATTGATTCTACCAGTGTTTCTCACTAAGCCTAGACTTGTCCTCACATCTTTTCAAACAACGACAGAAGAAAAATTAAAATCTCTGAGGTAGCTGCTAACAGATTTCAATTCAGGATGAAGCCTACTCACCGTCTTGGGCCACCACAATGCCCTGGGGTTTAGGATAGAGGCATTTGTGGTAAAGAACCAGGCTTTCAAGTCCAGCAAAACCTGCCAAACCTCATTCTCAGAGAATCTTAGAGAATCCTCAGTTTAATTTTATTAACTCGACCAGTGAGTTCCCTCAAACTTGATCTCCTAATTCCTCCATTCTCTGTGTGAAGAGTACTATAGCTCCATTACTCTTCCTCTTTCTGAGTTGCTCTTGAAGCAACTTCTGCAAAAGTAACCCCATCCTTATCCCTATCCCTACCACCCTGCCAGAGCTAAGAATCACCTTTTCTCATGGCTGGGTGGGGAAGAGGGATGTTTTCTGATTTGGAAATCAGTAGCCTAATTTCTTCATCGTAAGAGGGTGGAGAAGCCTGGTCATTAAATTTTATAGTATAGGGCTTCCCTGGTGGCGCAGTGGTTGAGAGTCCGCCTGCCGATGCAGGGAACACGGGTTCGTGCCCCGGTCTGTGAAGATCCCACATGCCGCGGAGCTGCTGGGCCCGTGAGCCATGGCCGCTGAGCCTGTGTGTCCGGAGCCTGTTGCTCCGCAACGGGAGAGGCCACAACAGTGAGAGGCCCAAGTACCGCGAAAAAAAAAAATTTACAGTATATACGGGTGATCACACTTTATTGTATAGCTTACCCATCTTTTGAGATAACTGGGATTGATAGGCTACACCAAGAACCTAACCCTCGGCTAATGTTATTTCATGGGAAAAATGGTGTCTGACTCCCAAATAACCATGTTACCCAATACAAAACAAACTTGTTTTGGAACTTGTTTGTATGCTGGCAACTCCTTACACTTGGTTTGAGAGAGTATTTCTCAAATAATGACATATAACTAGTTTGTAATTAGAAATTAATGGTTGTTAAGCAAAATTTCAGAAATAATAATAGCTTTTATCGATGCTTCTCAAACTATGTGTGGTGAAGGACAGGGTTTCTTTGCCTTTGTAAAGTAAAATGAAAGTGAATTACTAGAAAATGAAGTAAAAATTCAGGCATACAAAATACAAGCCCAAATCTTTTATTATTGATTCAACAGATGTAAAATGACTTTGTCAAATTCGTGTAACATTTTCTAAATGCTTACTCTCAAATTTTCATACTTACGTCACCATGGACCAGAAATAAAGCATTCACAGACCAAAAATGTTTCTTCAAACACATAAGTGGACTGCCTTTCATGATTGTACTTTTAACTCTTTAAAGTTCTTCGCAGTGTATTATCACGTGTAATATTCCCAGCAATTTGTGAAATAGGTTTCTTGTGATTATTGTCATTTTATATAATATATGATGGGGTGTTGGTCCCTCCACATCCTTTTTTTTTCCTTCCTCTCCTTACCTCTTTTTTTTTTTTTAAGGAGTCATATCTTTAGATCTTTTAACACAAAAATACATGGAAAAGGTGTTATAAAAGATAATTATTATCAGTAAAAGAAAGATTTACTTTGTAGAGGCTTCACACTAGGGCTTCTTGGAGGGTAAAGGAGACTTCCCCACCACCAAGTCATTTTCTGAGAATTCCAATATACTAAAAAGTGAAGAAATGCCATAACAGAAACAGAAAATTGTTGTATATATTTTTAAATATTTATAGTCAAGAAATTAACATTCTTCAAATATTAGGTTGAACAATATGAACTTGCTGTTTCTAGAGGTCAAAAACACACAAACGTAAAATAAAATTTTATGTGCTAGTCACAAGATAATTATGCATTTTGTAAAAAATATGCCTGGTTTATTACAGGAGGAGTGGCCCAGTAAAATGAATGAGTTTTTAAAATTCTGGATAAGAACAAAAAAGAGGAAGTGGAACCTGTGTTAAATCATCCTAATGTTCTTGTATGTGTGGGAAGAGAGCAGAGATACTGGATAACTTTAAACTTTCTTAAGGTAAGATGCTAAAAGGAAAAGAGCAGTGTGTAAGTTCAAAAGCAAAAAAAAAAAAAGAATGAGTTTTTTCAATTGTGTCAATGTATCTCTAGAACAGATGAATAAACAATTTTGAGTTAAAGTTGAAAGTTAACCAGATGGTCCACTAGACCCAAGCCTCTTTCTACAGAGGGCTGTCAGATTTGCTGCCTCTCTTCCAGGAGCAGTTGGACCCCAGATGGAGAGGTCAGAGGGTAGAAAATGTTGGGAGAGAGAAAAGCTGGGGAGACCAGAAACAAAAACTCCCAATCTCCTTCAGAGGCTGACTCAGTATGGCCTGAACTCTATGGAAAAAGTTAAGATATGTTCTGTTCATTCTAGGAAATACATGCATGTTTCCCATTGTCTAATAGCAATAATGTTTCTAGTTATCTATAAATAAACCATATGTGCAACCTCTTTCAGAGTAACTACCACAGCTGTTACTTATTGAACATTTCCCATTCCAACAGGCTTTTCATACACTACCTCATTTAATTCCTATAACAACCATTTGGATTAGTTACTGTTATTATCTCCAATTTGTGAGTTATGAAACTGAGGCCAGGGGTTAAGTATCTTGCCCAGGGTTACACACCTAGAAAATGGTGGAACCAGAATCCAATATAAAAAAATACATATTAAAAATTCCTTCTTTCTCAGGGGACATCAGTCTTCGTTTTATTAAGGGCTTCAAACTAATAGGATGAGGCCCACCCACATTATGGAGAGTAATCTTCACAGAAATAATGCCATTTGCAGTGACATGGATGGACCTAGAGATTGTCATACTGAGTGAAGTAAGTCAGAGAAAGAGAAATATTGTTTGATATCGCTTATGTGTGGAATCTAAAAAGAAATGATACAAATGAACGTACTTACAAAACAGAAACGGACTCATAGACTTAGAAAATGTACTTATGGTTACCGGGGTGGGGGGAAGGGTGGAGGGAAGGGATAGTTAGGGAGCTTGGGATTGACATGTACACGCTGCCATATTTAAAAAGGATAACCACCTGTGGCGTTGTGGGTTTGAGGAGCTGGCTCATGGGGGTGAGGTGTTTAGGAGTGTGGCCTCCCCACTCTCGTTGGGTGACATAACACAGACCTTGGGGCCAGATTTGCTGGGTTTGTACCCCCACCCCAACATTTACGCGCTCTGTGGCTTTGTGCAACTCAAGTAGCATGAATCTCACTAGCACAGAGAGAAAGCTTCACTGAAAACTCACTACAGGGTGAGTGGTGGGGGAAGCCGGATTCCACGACAGCAGCAGCAGGGCTCGTGGCAAGAATGGCTTGCAGGCCACCCCGGGCAGTCTCGTCTTCCTGCAGCTTGTAGACCCTGAGGCTTAGGAGCTGTTTCAAGCACACGACCTTGAGAGAGTAAGGTGTTCTTCAGAGACCATCTGTACTGAATCCGAGACTGAACCCAATGAAGACCTCTATATAAACGTTTAAGATTCTCGCAGCACATGCGGAGTCCTACTCTTTCAGACACGAGCTGCTGGAGACAGCCTCATAGACAAATTGCTCCCAAGTCAGCCTGTTCTAGCTGAACAGCTATTGTAGACCCTCATAATCTGACTTCATAATGGAGACTGCCACATTCACTACCGTGGGGCTGAAATGGTCTTGGTGCTCCAGCTGTGTGTCAGGCTTGAGTCTCATAGGTGGGCGAGCCAAGTTCAGGACATTGGTCTGCCAGAGATTTCCCAGCCCCACATAATATCAATCATTGAGAGCTCTCCCAGAGATCTCCATCTTAACGCTAAGACCCAGCTCCACTCCACGACCAGCAAGCTCCAGGGTTGGACATCCTATGCCAAACAACTAGCAAGACAGGAACACAACCCCACCCATTAGCAGAGAGGCTGCCTAAAATCATACTAAGTTCACAGACACACTAAAACACACCACTGGATGCGGTCCTGCCCACCAGAAAGACAAGATCCAGCCTCATCCACCAGAAAACAGGCACCAGTCCACTCCACCAGGAAGCCTACACAACCTACAGAACCAACCTTACCCACTGGAGGCAGACAGAAAAAAACAGGAACTACGAACCTGCAGCCTGCAAAAAGGAGACCCCAAACACAATAAGTTAAGCAAAATGAGAAGACAGAGAAATACGCAGCAGATGAAGGAACAAGGTAAAAACCCACCAGGTGAAACAGATGAAGAGGAAATAGGCAGTCCACCTGAAAAACAATTCAGAGTAATGATAGTAAAGATGATCCCAAATTGTGGAAATAGAATGGAGAAAATACAAGAAATGTTTAACAAGGACCCAGAAGAACTAAAGAGCAAGCAAACAATGATGAACAACACAATAAATGAAATTAAAAATTCTCTAGAAGGAATCAACAGCAGAATAACTGAAGCAGAAGAATGGATAAGTGACCTGGAAGATAAAATAGAGGAAATAACTACTGCAGAGCAGAATAAAGAAAAAAGAATGAAAAGAATTGAGGACAGTCTCAGAGACCTCTGGGACATTAAATGCACCAACATTCGAACTATAGGGGTCCCAGAAGAAGAAGAGAAAAAGAGAGGGACTGAAAAACTATTTGAAGAGATTATAGTTGAAAACTTCCCTAATATGGGAAAGGAAATAGTCAGTCAAGTCCAGGAAGCACAGAGAGTCTCATAGAGGATAAATCCAAGGAGAAACATGCCAAGACACATATAACTCAAACTATCAAAAATTAAATACAAAGAAAAAATATTAAAAGCAGCAAAGGAAAAGCAAAAAATAACATACAAGGGAATCCCCATAAGGTTAACAGCAGATCTTTCAGCAGAAACTCTACAAGCCAGAAGGGAGTGGCAGGACATATTTAAAGTGATGAAAGGGAAAAACCTACAACCAACCAACGATCTCATTCAGATTCGATGGAGAAATTAAAACCTTTACAGACAAGCAAAAGCTAAGAAAATTCAGCACCACAAAACCAGCTTTTCAGCAAACGCTAAAGGAACTTCTCTAGGCAGGAAACACAAGAGAAGGAAAAGACCTACATTAACAAACCCAAAACAATTAAGAAAATGGTAATAGGAACATACATATCTATAATTACCTTAAATGTAAATGGATTAAATGCTCCAACCAAAAGACATAGCCTGGCTGAATGGATACAAAAACAAGACCCATATATATGCTGTCTACAACAGACCCACTTCAGACCTAGGGACACATACAGACTGAAAGTGAGGGGATAGAAAAAGATATTCCATGCAAATGGAATTTATTCCATCCAAATAAATGAATTTGGTAAAGTAGCAGGATACAAAGTTAATGCACAGAAATCTCTTGCATTCCTATATGCTAATGATGGAAAATCTGAAAGAGGAATTAAGGGAACACTCCCATTTACCATTGCAAAAAAGGATAAAATACCTAGGGATAAACTTACCTAAGGAGACAAAAGACCTGTATGCAGAAAACCGTAAGACCCTGAGGAAGAAATTAAAGATGATACAAACAGATGGAGAGATATACCATGTTCTTGGATTGGAAGAATTAACATTGTGAAAATGACTATACTCCCCAAAGCAATCTACAGATTCAATGCAATCCCTATCAAACTACCAATGGCATTTTTCACAGAACTAGAACAAAAAATTTCACAATTTGTATGGAAACACAAAAGACCCCGAATAGCCAAAGGAATCTTTTTTTTTTT